TTTGGATTCGTTATCTTCTCCAGAATTTTTTGCAAAAAAAAATCTCTGGAGACTTTAAAACTAACCGAAATATCGAATTTTTTGTCTGGAGGTGCACAAATATCGATCTCGCGTAAACACGCCTGAGATGTGCACCAAACGTTTCTAAGCGTGAATTTTCGCATTCTAATATGTTTTTGTTAATTTTTAGTAAAGAAGGAAGGTTTAAAATCAAGTTTTGCAATTATAATTTTGTTTTTAAACAATTTTGAATCTCAAAATGTGTATGTAATATATAAGGGGCAAATTTTCTCAAATGTACCAATGTCAAAATTGCAAGTTGTTAGATCGGGCTAATATTTTTACAGTATTTAGAACTATGAATGAGTACTTAAAACCACCTGGTAATTATGAAATTTTTTTAAAAATTGTAGGGGGGAGGGGGTTGAAGAGTTTGGATAAGTATAAACAGTGAGTTTTATAAAAAATCGTAGCTTTTATATAATAAAGAAAAAATAATTGTGACCTATATGTTTTTGGTAGGTTTTTTTCTGCTCTTTCAAATGGTGAGAATTTTTTTTCAAAAATTCAAAATTTAACCCTTCTTTCGAAAACTAAATTTTTTTTTATTTTCTTCAAAAAAAGTTCCCTTTTTTTTTCTTGTACCAAAATAAAGCTTATGATGTGTACTTTCAATATGTGAAACGAAAAAATGACGTTTTTTTGTTTTTGAATTATTAATTAATTAATTAATAAAAATTGAAATATTTTACACTATAAAGTATTTTGACTAAATTGCCGTTTTACAAATAAATATTTATAAAAATAAAAATAAAGAGTTAGTTTTTTTTAAACAAATGTTTATATAATTCTACTTTAAAAAAATATTCCAGTTATTTGCAACGATTGTTTAAATAAAATATTCAACACCTTATGCGTGTATCACGCTTAATACAGATATTAAAATAATTAAAAATTATTCTGATAAAAAAATTATCTCTTCTTACATCAAAAATGTAAAAATTAAAAAAATGTACTTTAGAAAATGTCAAAAAATATTAAGCCTTGAAGTTTAGTTAAAAAAGTTTAGAAGTTTAGTTTTTTAGAAAAAAAAATTTTTATTTTCAAAAGAAGGGTTAAATTTTAAATTTTTGAAAAATAATTCTCACCATTTGAAAGAACAGAAAAAAACCTATCAAAAACATACAAGTCACAATTATTTTTTCTTTATTATATAAAAGCTACGATTTTTTATAAAACTCACTGTTTACACTTATCCAAACTCTTCAACCCCCTCCCCCCTACAATTTTTTAAAAAATTTCATAATTACTAGGTGGTTTTAAGTTCTCATTCATAGTTCTAAATACTGTGAAAATATTAGCCCGATCTAACAACTTGCAAATTTTGACATTGGTACATTTGAGAAAATTTGCCCCTTATATATTACATACACATTTTGAGATTCAAAATTGTTTAAAAACAAATTTATAATTGCACAACTTGATTTTAAACCTTCCTTGTGTACTAAAACTTAACAAAAACATTATAGAATGCGAAAATTCACGCTTAAAAACGTTTGGTGCACATCTCAGGCGTGTTTACGCGAGATCGATATTTGTGCACCTCGAGACAAAAAATTCGATATTTCGGTTAGTTTTAAAGTCTCCAGGGATTTATTTTTGCAAAAAATTCTGGAGAAGATAACGAATCCAAATATTATAGTTACAAAAAAATCAAAGGGGTGCTTATGCCCGAAAAAATGAAATCAAAATTTTTTTTGACTTTTTTTCCAGGCAAATTTTGGATTTTTTTTTCTTTAATATTGCACTTTAAATTGTTATATAATCAACTATTATTACCTAAAATATAAACAAAATCTAACTAAATCGATAAAAGTTATTCGTTTTTCAAAAAAAATGTGCTTTAATATTTAATGCCCGGTAAAATCCACAATTTTGAAAATTTTTAAAAATCTTTTTTTCCTAAAATCTTTTGTCATAAAACACTACCTTTATACCAAGTTTAAAAAAAATTGAAAGACCCATGACCAACTTTGATTTTTTTGAGAAAATTTGCTACGAAAAATGTTTTCAAAATTCACAATTTTCCTTTTCTTGTCTTAAAAAATGCATTCCATTGTTAAATAGAAGCTTATAATTGGTGCAATTTAGTTGAATTATTTTGGAGAAAAATACTTGGCAGTTTAAATTAATTTTTTCAACTCGCTTAATTACCGGAAATTTGAATTTGCTACGAAAAATGTTTTCAAAATTCACAATTTTCCTTATCTCGTCTCAAAAATGCTTTCCATTGTTAAATAGAAGCTTATAATTGGTGCAATTTAGTTGATTTTATTAGAGAAAAATATTTTGCAGTTTAAATTAATTTTTTCAACTCGCTTAATTTCCGGAAATTTAAATTTGCTACGAAAAATGTTTTAAAAATTCACAAATTTCCCTTTTGTCGTCTTAAAAATGCTTTCCATTGTTAAATAGAAGCTTATAATTGATGCAATTTAGTTGATTTAATTTGGAGAAAAATATTTGGCAGTTTAAATTAATTTTTTCAACTCGCTTAACCCCTTCAGTGTGTAGCTAAAATATAACAAAATGGTCCCAAAATGTGTAAGACCTTCTTGTAAATAAATTTTCATGACAATAGGTACTAAGGGGTTTTTGGGGTCGCTGATTACGATTCCGGTGTTAGTTTTCAAAAATTCAAAATGGCGGATCCAAAATGGCGGACACGATTTTGAAAAATTCATTGGATTCGCTTAAAAATCGTTACTCGGGGATTTTCTTGGTCGCTGATTACGAATCTGACATTAGTTTTTTAAAATTCAAAATGGCGGATCCAAAATGGCGGACACGATTTTGAAAAATTCATTGAATACGCTTAAAATTCGTTATTCGGGGGTTTTCGGGGTCGCTGATTACGAATCTGTTATTAGCTTTTCAAAGTTTAAATGGTAAGAATAATTAAAAGAATTTATCCACTTTTAAAATTTTTCAAAATTTTTGGCGACCATTTTGGATGAAAAATTATTTGTTTTTAAAATCTTACTTCAGATTCGTGATCAGCGACCCCAAAAACCCCCGAGTAAAAATTTTTAAAAGAATTTATCCACTTTTAAAATTTTTCAAAATTTTTGGCGGCCATTTTGGATGAAAAATGATTTATTTTGAAAATCTGACTTCAGAATCGTGATCAGCGACCCCAAAAACCCCCGAGCAAGAATTTCTAAAAGAATTTATCCACTTTTGAAATTTTTCAAAATTTTTGGCGGCCATTTTGGATGAAAAATGATTTATTTTGAAAATCTGACTTCAGAATCGTGATCAGCGACCCCAAAAACCCCCGAGTAAAAATTTTTGCGAATATACGTTAAGATGTTTTCTTGTTCGGGCCATGACGTGTATACACGTCATCCACTGTTTGGGCCAGTTTTTTTCATGACGTGTATACACGTCATCCACAGTCAAGGGGTTAATTTCCGGAAATTTGAATTTGCTACGAAAAATGTTTTCAAAATTCGCAATTTTCCTTTTCTCGTCTCAAAAATGCATTCCATTGTTAAATAGAAGCTTATAATTGGTGCAATTTAGTTGATTTATTTTAGAAAAAAATATTTGGCAGTTTAAATTAATTTTTTCAACTCGCTAAATTTCCGGAAAATTGAATTTGCTACGAAAAATGTTTTAAAAATTCACAATTTTCCTTTTCTTGTCTTAAAAAATGCATTCCATTGTTAAATAGAAGCTTATAATTGGTGCAATTTAGTTGAATTATTTTGGAAAAAAATACTTGGCAGTTTAAATTAATTTTTTCAACTTGCTTAATTACCGGAAATTTGAATTTGCTACTAAAAATGTTTTTAAAATTCACAATTTTCCTTTTCTCGTCTCAAAAATGCATTTCATTGTTAAATAGAAGCTTATAATTGGTGCAATTTAGTTGATTTATTTTAGAAAAAAATATTTGGCAGTTTAAATTAATTTTTTCAAATAAAAAAAAAATAAAAAAAATAAAAATTTTTAAATTTTTAAATAATTGAATATTAAAGAATTTTATTATTTATAAAGATAATTGAAATTTGGACCAGAATTTTTAAAAAAAATTTTAACATAATTGAATTTTTGCGAGGATTTTTATTACTTCTAAAAATAATTTAATTCTTCCAACCAATTTTATTTAAGTTTATAAAAATAATTAAATTTCGGTGAAGAATTTTACTATTTCTAAAAATAATTGAATTCTTGAAAAAAAACATTGTTAAATTTTTTTTAAATAATAATTGAATTCTTGCGACAAATTTTTTAAAATTCTTTTTAAATAATTGATATTTTTTGACATTTTTTATATCAAATAATTAAATTCCTGTGGAAATTTTATTATTTATGAAAATAATTGATTTATTTCGAAGAAATTTATTAAAAATTTTGTAAATTATTGAATTCCTGTGAAATTTTGCCAAGAATTTTATTAAAGTTCTTAAAAATAATTGAATTTCGAAAAAGAATTGTATTATTTATAAAGATAATTGAAATTTTGACGAGAATTTAAAAAAAAAATTTTGAACATAATTGAATTTTGCAGAAGAATTTTATCATTTTTAAAGATATAATTGAAATGACCACAATTTTTTTTAATTTTTGAACATAATTGAAATATTACGAAGAATTTTTATAACTTTTGAAAATAATTGAATTTCTGGAATTATTTGTAACTTTTCCAAAATTCAATTTTTTTTAGTATTTTTAACTGAAATTTTTTATCAATCTATGATAGTTTTTGTAAAATTAAGTAATTTAAAAAGAAATTATTGTCTGAAATAGAAAAATTTAAAGTTTTGTATTAAAATTCATGATAGTTTCTTAGTTTACGAGGCAAAAAAAAATCAAAATTCAGTTTTTTCATGAATTTTTAAAATTCAATTTTTTACAGTACTTTTACTAAAAATCCCTGACTTTTCCCTGACTTCCCTGACTTGTGGCAACCTTGTAAATAATTTATCGCTTACATAGCTTTCCTCTTTTGAGGCCTCCTTTGGGGTCGGAGGCTGCTTGCTTCCATTGTATTGCCGCTTGAAAGCAGGCTGCTTGAGAGGCTGCTTTTCTGGTTGCTGACTCTGCTGCAACGGCAACTATATTCACAATAAATTATTAATAACATACATTTATACAATATAAATATTGTTAATATTAGTTTTTCAAATCTTTCAAGGTGTGATAAAATTAATTTTCATTATATTTTTTTTGTTGTGAAAACAATTTTGAGAATATTTTAGTTTTGAGTTTATGTACAGTGTCATCATCCTCCTTAATTATTTACATGTTTCTGTGGAAACAAAGAAGTTATTTGAACTAATTCATGAAAAAGTAGTTTAAATGATATTAAGAAATCAATAAATGAGAGCTTTTAATCTTTTTTTGCAAAATTCATTAAAATAATGTAAGATAGATGAAAATGACAAAAGACAATTTTTTAGATTTTTTAAAGACAAATAATTTTTATTCAAGAAATTTTTGAATATCTAATGTATTTTATGAGAAAAAAAGACGTTTTTAAAAAAAAATTGAAAATTGTTTTTTCTCTTATATTACAATCGGGCACAACTTAAATTTTTATGTAAAATATTCTTCCCTATGAGCACAATTTCCAAAAAAAATTTGAGTAAAGAAAAAGGTGGGGTTTTTGAGAAAACTCAATTTAAAGTTTTTTAGAAAAATTCACTTTACGCACTGAAATTTACTTTACGCACTGTTTTGTATGTTTTAATGATTGTGCATGTATACATCGTATGTGTATATAGTAGGTATGTATATGTTTTTTTATGTGCGTTTCATTTATTGACATATTAGTATATAAAAAAAATAAAAATTATATACTACATACATACAAATGAATAACAATTCCCCCCATAGCTACTACACTTGTATAGCAATATAGCCCAAATATTATCAATATTTTTGCGAAATTCGGTGAGAGGGGGAGGTGAATGTTGCAAAAAATGTTGTATGACACTCGTGCGTAAATCAGATTATAATTGTGTGCAGCACTCACCTTCGGCTCGAGCTGCAAACGTCACACTCGTATAATCAACGATTTTACGCACTTGTATCATAAATAACTATTGTTAGAGGGTGAGTATAGCTAGTGATTGAACGAAGGATTTTATTTTTTGTTGATTAGAACAAATTTTTCATGGTCTAAATGGTTCTAAAAATCATAACTTTTGACAAAAAACGCTTCCAAAAATTCAAATTTCAATTTTTTTTAAATCCTTTGTTTAATCACTAGCTATACTCACCCACTAACAGAAAAAATTTTGGTTTTTGATTTTAGATGAAACAGTCATACAATATTGTGTCCACCGCAAAAACGATTTTTTCTGAAGGGGTCTTTATAAACCTTGTGCTACGGCCCTGAGTTTAAATACTTTTTTTTCAAAAATATTAAAAATTATTTTTAATAGATTGTATTTTAAGAAATTAAAGTGAAAAAATAAAAAAAATTATTTAATGTATGAAAAAAAGTAGTAAAAAAGCATATAATTTCTGACAGTTTTGTCCCATGTAACCCCTTAAAAGTATTGAAAATTGAAATATTTTTAAAAATTTCTATTTTAAAACGTTTAAAATTAATAATTACTCACGTTATTGTAAAAGTTTGCATTTTGGAGCACAGGCGGCGGATGGTTAAATTGTTGTTGCGACATCTGCCATGGCAATGTGGCTTGTTGAGGCACCTCCTGGTAGGAATTTTGTGTCATCGGATTATCAATGAAATATTTCGACGGCTGATGTTGCAACAGTGGCAGCTGATGCTGTTGCATCGTCGTCACTTGCTGCAGCATCGGTTGCTGCGACTTCTGTTGTTGCATCAATGTTGGAAAATGTTGCTGCTGATGCTGTTGCAATGGTGGTGACGGCAGCTGTTGTTGAATCGGTGGCATTTGCTGCTGATGTTGTTGCAACGGTGGCTGCTGCTGTTGCATCGGTGGCATTTGCTACTGCTGCTGTTGCATCTGTGGCATTTGCTGCTGTTGTAACGGCGGCTGCTGCTGTTGCATCGGTGGCATTTGCTGCTGTTGCAACGGTGATGGCAGCGGCTGTTGTTGAAACGGTTGTTGCTGTTGCAACGGTGGCTGTTGTTGCATTTGCTGCTGTTGCAACAGTGATGGTGGCGGCTGTTGCTGTTGAAACGGATGTTGTCGTTGCAACGGCGGCATTTGCTGTTGTAACAATATCGGCGTCGGCTGTTGTTGCAATGGCGGAATTTGCTGCTGTTGCAATGTCGGCGTCGGCTGTTGTTGCAATGGCGGAATTTGCTGCTGTTGCAATGTCGGCGTGGGCTGTTGTTGTAATGGCGGGATTTGCTGCTGTTGCAATGTCGGCGTCGGCTGTTGTTGCATCAGTTGTAGCGGCGGCTGTTGATGTACCAGTGGAGGCTGCTGCTGTTGCATTGGTGGCGGCGGCTGCTGTTAAATTCATTTGAATTTTAAAAAAGGTTTTTGAGAATTTTTAAATCAATTTTGTTTACAATTCAATTTTCAAAAATTTTAATTATTTTAAAATTCTTCCTTTAAGGTTATGTTATTCAGTGATCAAGTGTTTCCATATTAAAGTGTATATATGGCACGTGATCACTGAATAACAAGATCTTAAGGTCATGTTATTCAGTGTGACGTTTTTCCATAGTAAAGTATTTGGGGCACGAGACATGTGAAGAACATAACCTTAATATTCAATTATTATGTAAAATTTTAATTAAAATTCATTTTTAAATAAATTTTTATTAGAAAAATTAATCATTTTTGATTTGTTTATTCGTTTGAATTTATTAAATAAGAATAAATAATTTATTGAATAACCAAATGTGTCTTTTAAACTGAATTATCATCAAGAACTATTTCGACGAATTTCAATAAACTTTTTGAGTATAATTACTATTTGTTAAAAATTTGATCAAAATTGAAATTTAAAAAATTTAAATTTAAAAAAGAATTTTATTATTTGTGGAAACAATTGAATTATTGCTAAGCAATTTATATTCAATTACATTTTGAAATTTTAGACGACAAAGTTATCAAATTTTTAAAATTGAATTTTTTAAAAATAATTTCCAATAATTTAAAACACTTTAAATCAACTTGTTCATGAAAAAAACCGTAGAGTTGCATTCGAGCGAGAAATTACGATAAATAACCTAATCGATCCATACACTCGTTCAATTGTCATAATTTTATCGTATCGTCTCGTACCGTTTCAACAATCGCTCGTAAGAACGATCGAGCCCGAGAAATTTTCATTGTAAATGTTAAAATCTTCTAACGACATTTGTTTTAACCTTCCTATTTGACATTTATTTTTATATGTACAAAATTTTTAATATTAATACAATTTTGCAGTTTAGAATTGGATTTTTTTGGTGATAAATGAATTAATAACCTATTTATTGAAAATATACAATAAACTTTAAGAAATTAAATGTAAAAAAAAACCTTTCTAACAAGAAAGTGTTTATAAATATAAAAATTATTTATTTACTTTTATAATGTAAATTAATTAAGTATATTTTTTAGTATTACTAAAATTTAATTTATTAATTGCAAAAATAGTGTATATAAAAATATAATAAAAATTATAATAAAATAACAATTATATTTAATTAAATTGGTATATGATTCTAATCAACACTTATGTTGCAGCAAGTGTAATAATTTAATAATATTTGATTTTTGAATAATTGTCGGATATTTCATTTTGATTAAGCGATTATATTGAAAAAATAATAATAATTCATGTAGCAGAATTTTCAAATATAAACAACTTTATTATAAATTGACAAATAGGAGCCAGAACATTGCTCGAAACATTTTCGTTTAACTCTTTTCAATCAATGAATCAATTTTCAAAGTAAGAGAACAATTATTCCACGAATTAAGACACATTAACTGGGTAATAGAATTATTTGATAAACGGTTCCTGTGCTTTCTAATGACAAGAGAACTGCGTGAAAATAGTCTTTCCGATGGAACTGATGTCGCACTTGTACATAAAAAGTCTCGAGACATTCTTGCAAGGTTTGGTAAGATTGTTGCATGTTTTTTCCACCATTCGAGGATGTCGGTATTTTTTCCAGCTCGTTTTTGAGAACAATAATAATCAATTTCCCATTTCCATTCAGGAGATTTCGAATTTTTTGGAATAGAAAAAAACATCCTCTGATTCAGAATCTGACAAGAACAGAATGTCCATATCGAATTTGTCTTCAGTTTCTAAATTAGATTTATGAACTTTTGAAACTTCTTCTTCTCGCTCAAGAGTTACCTATTATTAATACATGAATTAATAAAAATTATTTTTTAAATTATCAAAAGTTACTAAAGGTGATATAAATTTTGTTTTTCAAGGATAAAATAAAAATAAAAACTTGAATTATATTTCTATAGCTAAAATAAATAGTTAAAGCAGTTAATTTTAAAAAAGTAAAACATTTAATAAAAAATGAAATTTTAAGAAAATAAACAATGTTTTATGTAAGTTATTTAAATGAAAATATTATTATTATTTATTATTTTATATTATTATTTTATATTATTATAAATTAATATTATTATTAATTATTTATTATATTTTAAATTAAAAATTTAAATTAAACTACTAAATCGAAATAAACTATATTTTTTTATTTAAGGTTAACTGTTTATCTACGTATAAAGTTAATATTCAAAAATACCTTTGTTTGGTAATATTGCGATTTATAAATCTGTTCAAATATTTTGATCGAGTTTTTAGCCATTTCTTTACCCCATTCTGTCAATTGAAATGTTTCAATTTTATGTCGAGGGTCTAAAATGAGAACAACGCAATATACCCAATGAAATTTTCTATAATGTTTTAAAAGTTTTTCAATAGCTGCTTCTAGAGCATCTAACAGAATTTCTTCTACATGCGTTCTGCCATCTTTCAAAATCAGGATATTTTTCGCAGCTTCAAGTTTATCTAGCAGTAAATTAAATCCTATAATTACTGAAGGCAGGGTTATGTACTTTTCCCCACTCAACTTAATCGACAAAACATTAAAATATTCTAAAAATTTTGACGCTTCTTCTAAAATTTCCCACTCTTTAGCAGAAAGCACGAATTTTTGCAAATCGGAGTTGTTCTCACACAGCATATTTAGTGCTGGTTTCATTCTGAAAGCTAACGTTAGCATATTATAGGTAGAATTCCATCGGGTCGTTACATCAATGTTTGGAGCTAGAAATTTAACATTGCATACAGTGCAACAAGAACTTAATTTATTACTCCTTTGCTCCGAATTCTTCAGAAGACTAAATAAGGATCTAAGTTTAGAGAGAGGAGAAGTTCTTCCCAAATCTTCAGAGTAAAACTCTTCATCATTTTCGGTGTTTTCGTCGTCAGTTTCATTTTCCTCACAGTCAATATTTTCGTCAGTTTCATTTATTTCATCAATTCGGAGAATTTTCAAATAATCTTGAACAGCCAGGTTTAAAATGTGTGCCAAGCAACGATAATGTTGTTCACTGGCATTAAAATTGATCATAATTTTGGACAATTCTTGCATAAATGTAGTATTTGTCGCAGCGTTATCTACGGTGATCCCTTGTACTTTATTCTGTAAGCAATATTTACAAAGAACACTGTAGAATAATTCCGCTATATCGCGTCCAGTGTGATTTCCATTGGAAGAAAGAAAATCGATGACTAAAGAATGCAAAATCCAATCGTTATCAATAAAATGAGCCGTAATGCCATAGTACGATTTATGAGCCAGCGACGTCCAACCATCTATGGTGAAAGAAATTTTTGACGAATTCTCAAGCAAGATTTTCATAACCACCTCTTGTTTTTCTTTAAATCGTTTTTCGCATTGTGACTTCAAAAAGGAGCGTAATGGTAAGGTAACTTCTGGTTTTAAATAATGGAAAACATCCTGAGTCTTCTGATCTTCAAAAAACGAGAATGGCAAAAATTTCGATGTCATCCAATCGACAACCATACCATCAAATTTGCCTTGATCGAACGTCTAATTAAAAAAAATTAATTTTTAATTACAAATTCTCATTTTACTATCAGAAGATTGTCAATTATTATTAATTATGCTCAAAAATATTTTTAAAATACTTCAAAATACTTCAAAAAACCTATTAAAATTTAATTATGAAACACAGTAATTTTAAATTTAATCTCATGATAAAAAAACATCAAGAAAAAAAGAAAATAAAAAAATTCGGAGAAAGATGAAATTTTTTTGAAGATTTGAACTAAAATTGAAAAAGAAAATAATTTTTTTATTATTTATTTAAAAATTTTAAATTACTTGATTTGAAATATTATCAGAAGGATAAGTTTCTGAATATTCCTTTGAATGGTTATTTCTAAGATGACGTTTCAAACCAGACGTGTTCGAGTCTTTCATTTTAATAACCACTGGTTTTTCTTTACACAATCTACATGTACCATATTTCATACCATTGTTAATAGTGTAGTTGAATGAGTTATCTAATGATAAACCACCATTTTTACGTTTTCTCGATTTAAAAACACAAGCCTCACCAACATTTTGCCCGTCACTAAAAATATGTAAATTTAAGAAATGAATAAATAATATAAATAAATAATTAAATTAAATAAATTTCTAATTTAAGAACTTTTTATTTGCTTCAGCAATTTGTGTAGTTGAATCTTGATCTCCTGCAATTTCCATTTTTCAAAATTATTTCAAATGAAATATTTATTAAGTAAACATTAAAAAATTCACATGACAGAAGTTATCGCTTGTTATTACGGGACGATACGATACGATTATAAACAAAAGACTAATCGAGTAAAGAGATCGTAAAATTTTTTGGTAATCGAGTGAAGTCGAACGAGAATAACGATTTTCTCGGATCGTATGCAACTCTAAAAAAAAGTAATTTAACAGAATTGTTAGTTAAAAGTATGACAAATTTCGATTTTCGAAGACTTTAAATTC